TCTCTCTCTCTCTCTCTCTCTCTCTCTCTCTCTCTCTCTCTCTCTCTCTCACACACACACACACACACACACACACACACACACACACACTCTGTTGCATACTAGTGAGTACGTCAACAAGTATGAGCAGAACCAAAGATCAACCAATATAGGGTGAGCATGTATGCAGCGGAAGTCTGATAAATGGACTGACTCACATAGACTGAACTCACGCAGATATCACTCAACACACAAACAATCATGCGATGGTGGGGTCTGAGCCAATCATAGACGATGCTCAGGCCCCGTACAACCATACACAGATGAAAGGTGGGAGGAGAGACGAAGGAGGTGGGAGATGTAGGCAGCGCCAGATGTCACCGAGATAGAATCCAGTAGGTCACCGATATGGTAGTCCAAAATGTCATCAAACAAGATCAAAATGCCGTGGACAATAAATCACTACTGTCAGAGGTACAGAGTCCTAATGTAACCGGTGTCCAATCTGTGATGCCGCCGAGTATAAACCCCAACAATCTCCAAGTCTCGAATCCGGTAAGTATCACAGCCTCTTACCACCGAAGTCCAACACTGATCTCTGTCCAACTCGTATCAAGTCTCCAATCTGAAGAAGAAGAAGAACAAGTCTGAAGAAGAAGAAGAAGAAGTCTGAAGAAGAGGAGGAGGAGATAGCAGAGGAGGAGGGAGAGATGGCGAGGTAGGGAGGAGGAGTGTCCTCCTTACCCTGTCCTGGTCCGAAACCCTACCTGCAAGGTGCAAGGTGGTGCCTTGAAGCCTTCCGCAGTTGAAGTCCGCGGAAGCTATGGCACCACAGGTAAGTACCAGGTAAGTCTCTCGCTGCTCTCTATCCCTAACTGCAGTCTAGTGCTAACCTTGCGCTACTGCAGTAGCGCTGCGCTCTAAACAGAATAGCGCAGCGTTCTCTCCAAGGGCTGCTGCTCCAGAATGCCGAACAGGCGGCCTCCCGGTACCTAAGTACCGGTGTGGAAAGGCCGGCCTCTATGCTGCGAGGCCGAGCCGTGATCTGAATCGTCAAAAGTGACGATTCAGATCAGACCGGCGGGCGGCAGCCTCAAGAGCGCCACCAGGCCCAATGGTAACGTCGTTTGGGCCTGCCCGTCTGGTCTGGTCCTAAAATGTGGCCTAAAGGCCAACCGGTGGCCTGCAAATGGCTCTTCCGGTCTAAAGGTCCGGCCTTGGGCCTGGACCGGCCTCTGAACCCCTATCTGTCGGGCCTAACCGGGCCCATGTGACACAGTGTGTAACACACACACACACACACACACACACGGACAGAAACCGTAAAAAAAAAAAGAAAACGAAAAAAAAGATTGCGCCCCTCTCCACTGAGTTCTACCTTACCCTCCCCCCTTCCCACACACACACATGGTCAGAAACCGTAGAAAAAAGGAAACGAAAAAAAATATTGCACGCCCTCCGCTGACTTCTGCCTTACCCTCCCCCCGCCCCCCTTTCCCATCACCCATCTCTCTCTCTCTCTCTCTCTCTCTCTCTCTCTCTCTCTCTCTCTCTCTCACAC